GAATAAATAAGAAAAATACAACACAATTGTTCTGTTTTTAGGCATTCATTAAAATACACTGAAGAAGAAAGCTGACGCTTTCGAAACGTATGTATATACGAATAGTAATAATAATAATCAACTAATAATATTTATATTGTAAATAATTATTTTAATAATAAAGAAAGAAATAAAGAAAAAGAAAAATACTCAAACAATCTTGTGGAAGAGTAATAAATATAAAAATAAAACGAATTTAACATGTCCTTCCAATTAAACACAAAAAAATATAAGCTAGTTTGAGTCTTTGAATGAAGTGATTTATGGTTTTCTACTCTTCTCGTAATCTATTATCGCAAAGTTATTGATATAAGCAATATATTTTTTATGTACAGCGATAATCACCAATCTTTTGAAACAAATGCTTTATATAGGATAACTGTGAAACAAAGGTCCAAACAGGCTACCTTTCTGCAGGCCTGGCGTGCCTGTGATAAGTCTGAAAAAACGCAGCCTGCCTGCGCCTGTCAGATTGTTTCTTTGGCCTGGTCTGTCTGTGAAGGCCTGTCTACTCTTTTTACACTAATATCATAATAACAATGAAATATAATCAGTTATTAATTGTTATAGAAAGTCCAATAAGTCAATCGATTCAGTTTACATGACATCAGTAAAAATTATCTACTGTGAACATCCAAGAGAATCTTTCAAAATGTTCACTATATAGAAGTATTCACTTCTTGTATGTACACCATAGCACATAAGAATTGGAGAAGAAAAAACAACTTACTTCAGGAAATGTATTCTAGATGTTCAAAGTCAGAAACAATCTTTCATATTTTACTATAAAAAGATTTTCACTAAAAAAGCATCGATTTCAACCAAAAACCATTTGAGCGCCAACTTAAGTTGTTCACTATAATGAGATATTGACATGGTGGAGGCGTTGACAGTATAAGTTTTTAACCTACATTTAATTTAAATTGAAAGTATTCGTATAGAGGAAAATCAAGAAATAGCCAGACACTAATTCTGAGAAAAACAATCAGATTTCTGTTTTACAACATTCTGAAAGAATCTGGCAGATAAAAGTGTTACTCACAGTCATACAATCAAGAGAGAAACAAGATACAACAACTATAAAATTGCTAGCAGCAAAAAAATATAGTTCAACTTCAGATGAATTAACTAGGGTTCAAAATCAATCCGGAGAAAATACTGGCAAAAGATGGAAAGAAAGAGCTGATAATCGTTGAAATTGGAATTTAGTTTTCGAAACACAGTTTAGAGTCTTTTTGACTGATATTTCTTAGACTTTGATTAGGAAGAGTAGAATTTGAGTAAAAAAAATAAAATTATCTTACAATCCAATGTTTAACACTCATTAGATTTATCTGAATTTTAAATATTTTCATCGCAAAAATCATCCTTAGTCTTTCTCAAGATCAAGTGAAAAAATACATTACATCGAAAAATAATTTTATCGATGAGAAAAGACCTTACACTGCACAATGATAGAAGAACACAAAATAGCATGTGCGGAAACCATCGAAATCTCGTTTTCACGAGATTTTTTCAACACAATCCTGAGAAAAATTAGTGCTGACCTGTTCAACAAAAATATTTAAATTTCGTACAAACCTAGCCGGTGTAAAATACCGATTCATACAATAATTTTGATTCTTATCCAAACCGTACTTTTTCTGATCGAAGTCTACAAAATACCAATGAACAACACTCAAAACTATGTCTCGAGAACAATATTCTTCCTGTAATTAATGTTTTTTCTTTGATGTTTTGGCAATATTTTGTAGTTGATAAAAATATTATTCAAATTGTATGAAAACTGGTCTGATTGACATCAATAATGATAGTTAAATAGACTTGATCATCATCAAGGGCCAGACATACTATGTAAAGGAGAGTTATCGATTATATCAAACGATCTGATCACCATGTAAACAAGTGTAAGTGTTTATCCTATTAGAAATCACTTTTAAAATCTTTTCTAACAGTTTTCCATAGAAAAAAAAAACAAATTTTTCGAGAAGGTCGATATCATTATTTTTCTACCTTTCCTTGGTGTTAATAAAATCTTCATAATGGTATTGGATTTTCTTGCTTATATTTATTCGCGGTATTAATTCTCAACGGTTTATCTAATACTTCTTATTAAATTGTCATCAGCAAAACGTAACTCAACTGAATCTGCTTTCTAAAAATAAATTCAATTTATAAAATAAAAATTTCATACTAAAAAGAAAGTAGACATATCAGTCAGATAGGCCAAATAGCTTGTTTTGGAACTCTACTATAAAACCAACTGATAGAATATAATGAATCACATCGATGACTCAATAATCAATCAGTAGTATGGTTATGAGCATGTTCTTCTGCTGATAAATAGTATAATGTGTGTATCTCAACTTTGATTCATTCAGCGAAGAAAAAAAAACCTATTCTACTTTTGCTCACAGAAAATGCTCATCCGACGAAAAAATGAAGAAAAAGGAGGAGGATTGAAGCTACAATCTTTTCAATCCTTTTTGACATATGTGTTCAAATTCTTTAAGGGTACGGTGCTCTTTATTCTGCATATTTTGAGTTTTAACTTAAAAATTAGATGTTTAAATGCTCAGAAAATAACTTATTGGTAATATTGATAAGCTAGATTTTTGTCATCTTTTTGTTTGACATGAAAAGCAATATTTTATAACAATTTTTAAAATATATCGATTATTCTAGTTATAGTTCAGCAATAAACTATCTAGAAATATATCGCGTCATATATTAGCCGTTTCAACATGAATAAGCTTTTGAATAGTCCTACATCGCTTGATGTAAAAATTTTGGTTTAGTTATTTCTGTATCACACAATAAAAGTTTCAAGCTGATATTATTTTTTTATGACAAAAGATATGCTATGCCAAAATGTGTAATATGAATCAAAATGTGGTAAATACTTATTCGTCAGATGACGAAGAGTCTTGTCATTAATGGTTTGCGCAATTACTGACTTTTTTCAGAATTTTCTTTTCAAAAGATTTAAGATTGTCATTTGCTTGTTCGTAGAATTGTTTTTTTAAGATTCAATTTCTGATACTGAAAAAGAAGTCATTGGTATACTTAAGATTTGTTAATATATGGGAAAATAAATTTTCTGCTGCTTTATTTAAATTTTATTCAACGAAATAGTTAAATTCTTTATTCTCTCTTCATATTGAGAACAAGAATTAATTAAAATATTCTTCTTTTCGCGCCTATCTATAATGAATTTTGCCTAAGTTTAATTGTGTCTAAAGTTTACTTTTACCTGCAACATATACAAATAAATTGTTCGATGGTTACAATGCATTCGGAAATTTAAATTTAATGAATTTATATAAGCATTTCCCGTGAATTTTGTTGTGCGTACATACTTCACTAAGAATTAAGAGCAACAACAAAATCACAACTCGATTGGTTGAATACAGAGAGAGAGCTATGGTAAATGAAATATTTTTTTTGCCTCAAATTTTGTTTAGCGTGAAAAAATACTGTCTACTAAATTTTGGTTGACTTTAATCAAATACAAGACTGATTTTTCACATTGTAATGTACAATTGGATTGCTATTTATGACCATTCTTGACTTAGAAGATGACATCATTCACCAGAAAAATGTTATCATTGAATTTCTCTCAGTCTTTGACATTCATATGATGATCATAGGTGTGCCATTTCCCTTGGATAAATAATCTTTTGCTTAAACTTCGAGATGATAATATTTAACTATTGCTAACACTTGTATAAAGTTTGTTCAACTCTAGCTCTCTAACGTTTTTTCTTATATATCATCAAGTTCTATTATACTTTATATAAAATTCTTCGTGCAATTAGTGTCATCTACAGAAAAAAAAACATTTTTATATTATAATATCGTATTCCTTTTCTTTTATTATCATAATAAAATAAGCTACACCTATATCTAAATATGTGATAAATAGCATGTGACAAGTCATAGATTTTCTATTCACTAGTAAAAGTACTTCCAACATTTCTTGTATTCTGTTCTATGATCGTTTTCCAAACCACACGTGAAAATTAAAATCATCTGGAATATAGACAAAATCGGAAGCACCAACTTCTACTGTCGATTCTTGAAACCAAGATGTTGTTTTTATATGCGATTTACAAAGCAACGGAGGATAATGTATGTGTAAACTGCATAATTGTTGCATATTTCGTAAAATATGTAAAACCTCTTTAGGGGATGTTGTTAAATTTAATGATAAGTGTTCGCATTTGTTACCAAATATATGAACAACACTCGTAAGAATATGTGAGTCGTCCATATTTTGATCATAACCATGATTTGATAAGGAATCAGATATAGTTAATGATTTAATTCTTTTAGATAATTGATTACAAACAGTCTTATTGGTAAATGAATCTGTTAGCTTTATTAAATTTGAAATCAGTATTGTTAACGATTCAAGTTGAGGTGCATTTGTAAGAACATTTGCAAAATCAGTTGCCGACATAGATAAATTCCTTCGAAATTCCAGATGACGTAAATTCTTTAACAGAAAATACCAATTTGTAGGAAAATCATTATTGAGAACCAATCGAACGATGTTGGATGTTGGAAAATTCCGACAGGATATTTCACATTTTTCATCGAATTGTTGTGTTTTAACTCTTGTAGATGACTCATACTGTTTTTGATCAATATTAGTCGCAGGTAAAGTCGATGTACTCATGTTACATGAATTCATATCAACTCGCATTCCACGAAATGCAAAAGGCAAAGTGTAAAAAGCACCCAGTGCAGAAGTTCCATTATTTGAATCACATTGGGTGAACCAACGTTTTTCCACTAAATAGAATGGAGTAGAAAACGAAGCCATGGTATGATTGATGTCATTCAATGCATTACGATTAAGAAAATAAGAACAAAATTGGAAAGTTTTGAGTAATGGTAATGATGATTTTATAAATTCTTCCCACGTTTTACCATCTGGCAATATACTATAATTTCCATTATCATACAAAGCAAGTTTAGTTAATTTTGACATTTTACTAAGTGAAGTTTGTAGAGCATTTCCATCTTTTGCTTCATTATAAAGTAATTTCAAGTGTTTTAATCTTTTTGGTAATGTTAAAACACAATCATGATGACAAGTATAATTTATAGTATATTCAAGTGTTCTCAAAGAATGAAAGTTCTAAAATAAAATAATTTTTAATTTAGTTTTAAAGAATTTCTAATATTTTTACATACTTTTATCCAATTGTTATGTTTACATCCAGTAAATACAAGTCGTTTTAATGATGGTAATGTCATTGGTTGAATATTTTCTCCACATATTGTTGTAACTGTTAATGAAATAAGATAATCAAATGATACAAGTTGTGATAGAATTTCCTTTGCACATTTAGGTTTCATATTTAAAATAGAAAGTGATTGTAATTGAGAAATATATTGAGCAGGTGGGAACAATTGACAAAAGAGTTTTATTTGTCCTGGTGTTTGATTATCTTCAGAAAGACGTAATGATCGCCATTGACAAATATCATGATGTTGAGTAACATAATCAAATTTAACTTTATTTATAGACTTGAAATCAAATGTATTAACATATTTGATAAGTAAATGTTGAAAACGATTGTTTAATTGTGAAAATGCATAGACAATGTCTACACCGTTGAGATAATCAAATATTTCGAGAAAAAGTTCATTGGATAGTTGTTCGATTAATGTAAACTTATGCTGGCAACATTTTGATGCCCTCATGTTGTATAAAAACTATTTTTACGCTTGTTGTTATGCTTCACAAAAAAATATAACTTTTGATTGACACGAATCATTGTTTTTTATAGTGTCCCATTTTTATTTTGATCAATCGATCTACGCAAATAATCCCGGTGTGCATAGATTAAAAACTAATTCGAAGAAAAGAATACGTACGCATGTGATGTGGATATTGATGACACTCAAGTGATAGTGGAAAAAAATAATACAATCAAACACGGTAGTTTATTATATGACCATGAATAGTCTGATCTGATTAAAAGAAAGTTGTCTCAAATGATGATAATAAATAAAGGGAAGCCTTGTGAATAATCAAAAATAAAAGACGACTGGAGACAAAGAACAGTAGAAGTGGTTTTTTTGAGATGTGTAAAATCATATATTTCATCAGATACATTTGATTGTGATCAATAAAATCATACGTCACAAGATTCAAGTTTAATTCTATCATAGTTCGATTAAATTCTTTAAAGATGTTACTTTTATTCTCTTTTGTTTATCGTTATTGATATCGAACCTAGCTAAGTTTAATAGCAAAAAATTTATATTTATTACTTGTGGTATGACATTTTAATGAAAGAGGAGTAGTGTTTACATGAAAGACAGATGAAATTAGTAAGAAATGACTGCTGAATGCCTAGTATACGACAGCGATAGTGAGAAAGCGGGACGAATAGAGAACAAAGAAAGAGATAAATCATAGCTGGATAGTTATTCGCTACATGATTGTTATTTATTCAGCGTTTACTTATGAAAGTATATAATAGACTGTCGAATATCGTTTCATTTAATATTTTATTGAGTATTAGATGTTTGTAGGACTACAAAAAGCTCAAAGTGATTCGTTTTCATATCCTTATTAGATTAAGATGTTAAAAGGCTTGTATATACAAAAAAAAATCAATTTTGTCTTTTTTTAAAGTTGAAGACTAAAGATTTGTAGTGTATTGACAATATTTGTTATTATTGTTACATTTATTTCATTTCTTGCATGTTGGTGTTTGTCTACTGATGAGTCATGATTTACACATATGTGTAATTCTATACATATATTTATGTACTCTAATATCGTATATAACAATATTTCTATTGTTATATTTCTTTATTTCTATTCTATTCTTCATTCCATTTGTATGAGTCATCACATCATATAGATCTCTATATATATGCTTGTCTTTAAAAAGAGATAATTTTTGTTCGTTTCGTTTCATCTAACTTGTTAATTGTTTCTGTTCTTGAAGTCAAAAAAACAAGTTATTGACGTTGTCCTTTATTGTATTACGCAGTTGATAATACAATACATTTTTTGGCTTTTACATATAACCTGAATGCGGGACAGGATTCAACAATGTTTAAGATATGTCATTGGAGCTTGTATCCTGCACTATAATATAATAAAGTAGACACATGTACAATCAGCCTTTTCGTACTAAAAAAAATGTGTCGCAACGAGCACCTCGTGTCGTATTTCTTGCGTTCTCCGCTGGATATATATAGCGAAGAACGCAAGAAACACGGTACGAGGTGCTCGTTGCGACACATGCAACACATAATGCGATACATTTTATTTTAATATGATATCCTGCATCCTGACCAAAGAAAATTTTCTCATCGTAGCTTTACTCTATCTTACAAAATCTGGATCCATACTTTACCCTATCATATATTTTCTCTGATGCTAACTCCATCTCAATTTGCAGGATAATACAGGTAGAACTACTTTGTATAGTTCTATGACTATGGTATATACATAATCACTTTGCTTACAGATATCAAGTCAAGAATATACACATAACATACGCTAAATTTCACGAAATATTTGAAAAAAGATCAAGGAAGAAAAAAAAGATTAACTATTTAATGAGGGAATCAATTTTCAGGAAGATGCCTGACAAGAAACATTAATATTTATCATAATATTGAAAAAAGTTTGGGGATATTATATTATGTAACATTAAACTATAGCAATCTAGAATAAAAAACATTTTTCCAGTTGAACATTCTGCTAAAGCAATATGAATAGGGATCTATGAGTCCAAACCCAGTTTATATGCAACTTCGAATCGAAATAGAGAAGAGTTTATGTCACCCTACTCAAGTATAGTTCTTCTGCTACAAATAAACTTTACACTGTTTTTTCTATGCTATAGCCACAATATCGTTGAAATCTTGATTTTTCACTTATGAGAAAATATTGCCAACTGATACACACGATTTGAGCTCATATTTAGTCAAGGTAGAGCTCGTCGTGCAGATGAAATCCTCAACAGAATTCGTCCCATTGGTCGCTTTTTTGTAGAGAAACAAGTGTAATAAGTTTCTCATAAAATGATATTACTGTGTTTATAACCAAAAAAAAGTTTTTTAGTATCGCAATAAAAGAAGATTTTCACCAGCTTATGTTTTTAAACTCGTATTATACATGGTTACTTATTGTAGAAAGAATAACTAAATCTTAGTTAATGTTCTACAGACACAGAAGAGAAATTCGTTGAATCAAATCTTCTTGTATTATTTTCAATAGTATTTTCCCCAAGGGGGAAAAGGCGATACTCCATCTACTCCAAAAAAAATTTTGGAGTAGAGCGGAGTACGACTGGAGTAGAGTGGAGTATCACTAGAGTACAAGTGGAGTATAGGGATGCAACGGTGACGATCATTCACCGCTTAACCGTCACGGTTTCACCGGTCCAAACTGATAACCATAGGTACGGTTCCCGGTCTAACTATGATAACTGTACGTACGGTTACCGGTTCAAAACCGTTGGCAAGAAAACACCATTTCGTGAGAAAATAATGATATTCTATAAAGGTTGACGAAAGTAAATCGAGGTCGGAGAATTCGAATCTGAAGTCAGTTTTTGAAAATTTTGACCTAATTTTTTTGGGTGAAAGGAAGGGTTTTTTGGAAAAATAAAGATATTTCATAAAGGTTGATGAAAGTAAATCGAGGCCGGGGAATTTGAATCTGAAGTCAGCTTTTGAAAATTTTGAGTTTTAGTCTTCACATATAATCTTTTTCAGGAATAAATCTTTCTAGAAAAAAAGACGATTTTTAAGAAGCGGTTTAGTATTGGGAAGAGAAAATTGAAAAGTTCAAGGATCTGATTTAAGATTTCGATTCTTCAATTTCGATTCCGATTTACTTTCTTGAGCCTTTATAATATATAATTACTTTTCTGAAAAGCCTTTTCCTTTGTCGAAAACATTGAATTCAAAATTTTCAAAAACCGACTTCAGATTCGGATTCTCCGACCTCGATTTACTTTCATCAACCTTTATGAAATATCGTTGTTTTCTTATAAAATGGTGTTTTTCTTGCGAATGGGTTTGACTTGGTAACCGCACCTACGGTTATCATCACCGTTGTATCCCTAGTGGAGTAAGGTTGGAGTACGACTGGAGTAGAGTGGAGTATGACTGAAGTACGAATGGAGTATCCGTGGAGTATCAGTGGAGTAGAGTGGAGTACCGGTGGAGTAGTGTGGAGTATCGGTGGAGTATGTACTCCTGGAGTATCGCCTTTTTCCCCTTGATTTTCCCACATGTTTGAACGAAAGCAGCAGGTTTTTCAAAATTTTCGTATCCTCTCATCCACTTTTCTTTGAATACAATAGATATACGAAATATATTTGTTTCACATTTCGAAGAGATGAATGTCATGAAAAAAACCTGCATTGATTGGCCGATGATTAGACGTTCCTGGTATCAAGAAGAACTGTGCTTTATTTTTTTTNAACAATTTCTCCATCTATTGGTCCTATCGTCCACTGCTGGTTCAAAACCGTTGGCAAGAAAACACCATTTCATGAGAAAATAATGATATTCTATAAAGGTTGACGAAAGTAAATCGAGGTCGGAGAATTCGAATCTGAAGTCAGTTTTTGAAAATTTTGACCTAATTTTTTTGGGTGAAAGGAAGGGTTTTTTGGAAAAATAAAAATATTTCATAAAGGTTGATGAAAGTAAATCGAGGCCGGGGAATTTGAATCTGAAGTCAGCTTTTGAAAATTTTGAGCTTTAGTCTTCACATATAATCTTTTTCAGGAATAAATCTTTCTAGAAAAAAAGACGATTTTCAAGAAGCGGTTTAGTTTTGGGAAGAGAAAATTGAAAAGTTCCAGGATCTGATTTCAGATTTGGATTCTTCGATTTCGATTTCGATTTACTTTCTTGAGCCTTTATAATATATAATTACTTTTCTGAAAAACCTTTTCCTTTGTCGAAAAAATTGAATTCAAAATTTTCAAAAACCGACTTCAGATTCGGATTCTCCGACCCCGATTTACTTTCATCAACCTTTATGAAATATCTTTATTTTTTCAAAAAACCCTTCCTTTCACCCAAAAAAATTAGGTCAAAATTTTCAAAAAGTGGCTTCAGATTCGAATTCTCCCACGTCGATTTACTTTCGTCAACCTTTATAGAATATCATTATTTTTCTAAAAAAACCTTTCCTTTGTGGAAAAAATTGAATTCAAAATTTTCAAAAACTGACTTCAGATTCGGATTCTCCGACCTCGATTTACTTTCGTCAACCTTTATGGAATATCGTAGTTTTCTTATAAAATGGTGTTTTTCTTGCGAATGGGTTTGACTTGGTAACCGCACCTAAGGTTATCATCACCGTTGCATCCCTAGTGGAGTAAGGTTGGAGTAGAGTGGAGTATGACTGGAGTACGAATGGAGTATCGGTGGAGTATCAGTGGAGTAGAGTGGAGTACCGGTGGAGTATGAGTGGAGTACCGGTGGAGTAATGTGGAGTATCGGTGGAGTATGCACTCCTGGAGTATCGCCTTTTTCCCCTTGATTTTCCCACATGTTTGAACGAAAGCAGTAGGTTTTTCAAAATTTTCGTATCCTCTCATCCATTTTTCTTTGAATACAATAGATATACGAAATATATTTGTTTCACATTTCGAAGAGATGAATGTCATGAAAAAAACCTGCATTGATTGGCCGATGATTAGACGTTCCTGGTA